CAAGGGCTTTGAGGCCGCCGAAACCGAGCACCAAATCTGCCAAATGGCCCCGAAATCTGCGGAAACCGAGCACCAAATTTGCCTATAGGGTCTATTGAAACCATGTGAAAAAGAAACAAACATGAGGCCCATTGAGGCCCCCATCTCCCAGACTCCTGATATCTCCTGATCCTCTGGTCCATGTCCGTAAAAAAGGGGATCCTTCCTGTCGACTCACTGTACTCCATCTGTTCGACCCAGACGCTTCCATGCGATCCGCCACCGTGAGATCAAAGCTCCTTATAGTGAGGTTCTCCCGTCTTCTTCTTGATGCACCTTGATGCACCACCTATCCATCAAACCCACAAAAAAAAAACAACAAACTCCAATGTTTGGCGAGACGAGCTCTGGAGTTTGTATGAGAAAAACACCTTTTGCTGTCATTCCAAACAAACCCAGTGCATCCCAGGCAAAGAGGAACCAGGGGCCCTTCGATCGAAGTCGGTGTTAGTCGAACTGGAAGTACTGGTTACCAGCGACATCGTGGGAACTGCCTGGATGCCGGTTTCCCACCACCAACACATGCACCGATCCCGGTCCGCTCCGTCACCATCGTCTACTCCGTAACCGAGACGTCGTCCTTGCGGCCACAGACCTGCTCGGGCTCCTTCCAAACAAAGGAGAGCTCCGGCTCCTGGAGTCGACCCATGACCGTCATGAGTCGATAGGTGGGTAAGCCCAGGGTCATAGATGGATGCCCGTACTTCGTACGACCGTATGGGAGGGGGGGGTGCAGGTGGAACAGGCTGCAAGGCTTAAAAAGGAAACATCTGCAATGGGTAAAATGCATGTAAACCAGTGATACCACTCTAAACTTGAAATGTCCAAATATAACATCCAACACTTTCCAATTTCTAAATATTAGATTCCTATTGCTGCAAAACAACTGGAGCCTACTTGAGCCTCCAGCGGCCAGTCCCGCCCGTCCCGCCCGTCCCGAACACATCGCGGAAAGGGTCTTTCGGTGTTCAACGGGGCTCCTGAAGGCCTTCCACCAGTTGCACACTGGTGATGGCCGAGGTACAGGATTTGTAACCTCAGCCACTCGACTTCAGAAAATGAGTTACAGTCGTCATGAGTACTGCATTGTTTCTTCTTTGAGCATCATACTCAGAATCATGTGGCCATGTTCGGTACTTGAAGATCATCTCCAGGGTGGGTCGATCCGGGTCCGGCAGAGCTCCGGTTTCTTCCGGGAGAGCTTACGGCTCGGTGCAGCCAGGCGAGCCGCTTGGGCGAGGCCTAACGTTCCGGATCGAGTTCCGGATGTCAGGATGCCATCAATTTGAGAATATGTCGTCTGAGTGCCGCATCCACTGGATGGGTCTAACTACCCCAACTCCAACTGGAACGAACTGGATGTGTTGGTCTTCTTCAGATGTCTTGAGATTTTTCCTCTCACGCTCGGCCATCCACATCCCGAGTCGGCCGAGCAAAGCGCCGATTCGAACGTGGAAAGGGGGCCATGGCGGTAGTCCACCCTCCAATTGAATGAAACATGAGTTGTGTCAGTCGTACATATTTCTGACCTCACACCCCTGCTTTGAGAGGATGCACCTCCGACCTGAAACACCAAATGCACCAAGTCTTCCAACAAAGTTGTGTGAGGTTCTCGGTTCCTTCGCCGCCCGACCACTCATGTTGTTTCGCGAATTGATACGTTTTTTTGGTGGGTGGGTGGGGGGCCGGGGGACAATGACAAACGATGTTGATGCTTTGGTTGACATGTACAAACGATGTTGCGGTTTTGGTTGACATGTACAAAGGGGTTTTGGTTGGCATGTACAAACGATGTTGATGTTTTGGTGGACATGTACAAACGATCTTGAGGTTTTGGTTGACATGTACAAAACGATGTTGCGGTTTTGGTTGACATGTGCAAACGATG